TAACAGCATATAAAAGCACCAATTTCCTCTATGGCTGTGAAACTAGATTATGCCATTGTCCAACACATTAATTGGCCAGCACAGCAACTGCTATTGAGGGCGTGCGTAATGTTGCAGGGAGCTCTGAAGGGAAAAGATGAGTCAGGGAATGTTGGGTTCCCCTGGGGCCATCCAGGTGTTAACAAAAAACATCAAGTCTAAGAGAAAACTTAATAGGAGTTTATTTGAGCCAAACTGACGACAATTGCCGGGAAGCAAAATCTCAACGGGGTTGAGAAAATGCCACGCGAAATGGTGGTTTGCAACTTATTTTATACATAAAATCAAAGGAGGAAGGTTACATGAAATCCATTGGTGATAGATTAAGGGGGTGGGGGAAAGCAAACAGGGGGAAATCTCTGGGATTGGATAAAAGTAAATTGGGGAGACAGGTACTTCTTTTACACAGGCGGGTGCAGGATAGCTAACAGTTCGCTCTTTACAGCACATAGAGATGGTAATCAGGAGACAAACATAATAATGAAGAATTTTGCAGTTTCCAGCTCTGGTCTGGAAAAGGGATTACTGACATTCCAAAGATGTTATCTTAGGTGCAAAAAGACAACAGACAGACCCACTGAAAAGGCAGATTAACTTTATGAAGGAAGCTAAAGATATGACTTCCCTCCATGGCCCACTTGGTTATGAATATTTTTTTATGCTGACAACATCTTATGTGGTTATTTTCAGTCTCCTGAGCTTGTCAGGTTAATATGTGGCCCCTTTTTCATCCACCCAGGAGAAGAGGGTCCATGGGTATAGGAGAAAAAAGGACCACCCAGACGAGAGGGTACAGGAGGGGAGGGTGGCATGGAGGACGAGTTTTACGAGCACCATGAGTTTGCTGGACATGCTTGAGTGGAATAAGAGTGAGCGAGGTGTCTCAAGTCTGTTTTCTGGGAAGAGGAGGCCACGTATTTTGGCAGCGCTTCCCACCTGGTGGTTTTGCTAATGGACAAAGAGTGCCCTTTGGAGATCTGCCAGTCCCAGCGCTGCTGTCATTGGACAAATGTGTACCTTAGGGGCCGGGGGTGAGTTGGGTTGGGCAATCACACGGGCCAAATTTTGGCCCCAAATTTGATTTCAGATATGCTGTTACCTTGTGAATCAGTGTGTTCCGATCACAATGAGTTTCCGATTTGTGAAGGGACTTTATCCAGCAGTCCATCCTCCCCCCAGCCCTCTGCTCCCCCAGTATGCCCAGAGGGGCCTAAGTCCCTGCTGACTTTCCTCAGGTAGCTGTGAATCAGGACCTCAATGGCTTTCTGACTAGCTCAAGAAAGTCCTTTTCATTTACCTTCAGCGTCTTATACATTTTCCCTTCTCATTTGTTCTCAGAAACCGAAAAATTATGCTTCACCAATTAGCCCAGAGCTGTGTGAAGACCCAGCAAATTCTACCTCTCACCCCATCCTCCACGTCAATTTTTGAAGCTCAAGGTTTTGTAAAATTTAATGTGCACTGGATGACTTACAATGATTCATTGGCCACCTTCGCCAAGTAGATTTTCTTAAAGGTGCTTTGTCTTTTTAAACATTATAAAATACATTTGGACAATCAATAGAATCCTGGTTAAATAAATTATGCTACATTGTGCAGCTATTAAAAAGAACAAGGCAGCTCTAACTGAATTTATATAGAACTATCTCCAAGATATACTAAGTAAAAAAAAAAAAGGAAGGTGCCAAATAATAGATATAGTGTGCACCATTTGTATAAATAGAAAAGTACATACGTGCATGTGAATGCGGAGCTATCTCTGGAAGATGACTCAGGATGCTGATAACAATAGTTGCCTCTGGGGGGCTGAGGTGCGGCAGTGAAGCAGGGAGCCTTCTTTTCACCGTATACCCTTTTATACATTTCAAATTCTATATCTTGGTCATGTATTACCTAAGAATAAAAAATAAAATGTAAAAGACCTTTAAAAAGTAAAAATTAAATTTAGAAAACTTTAAAAGCCCCATACGTAAAGATGAAGGACAGGTAGATAAAAGAGTTGGTTTTAAACAGAAACATGTCATTTTGCTTCACAATGGCATATAGCCTTTTGTGTTTTCATCTGCAGGACTGCAGCGGACGGTCTCCGATGAGAGTTTCATCTTTGACAATGTCACCATTTCCCTGACGTGACTCCTCTCTCCCTATATTGGAAACCTGTCTTGTATAATTAGTACGGGAGATGGCCACACTTTGGAGCCTTACTATCCCCCCAGGTAAGAGGAATCTCTAAGCCTTGAGTCAGGATGTGTCAGTGAAGTTTTGCTGCATTAACAAAGCATCCTAAAACTTAGTGGCTTACAGTATTTATTATTTCACATGGCTCTTCGGATTAGCTAGGTGGCTTTTCAAATATCTGGGCTGGCTCAGCTGGGACTGGATGGCCTAGGAAGGCCTCACTCACAGGTCCGGTGGTCAGCAGGATGTGGGCTAGGGGCATGTGTTGCTCGTCACCCAACAGGCTAGCCTCGGCATGCTTGTGTGGTGGCAGGAGGGTTTCTAGCAGGGAGTGAGAGCCAGGCCCAATGTGCAAGCATATTTCAAATCTCTACTGGTGGCACACTTTCTAATGACCCATTGGCTAAAGCACGTTTCACGGCCAACCCCAGACTCAACGGGTGGAGAAATAGACTCCACCTGTTGATGGAAGGAACGGCAGAGCCCCTGTACAAAGGGGCATAGATACAGGAATGGGAGGAACGGGTACTCAGGTTTCTCATTATGGAGGCCACGTGAACAGTCATGGAGACTGGGTCCTTTCCATTTGGCTTTGTGTAGAATCTCTCCCGGGTCACTGTTCGAGGAGTCGGTAATAGAGTGAATAAGATGCTCCCCTGGGTGTGGGAATGCTTTTTGTTGGTAAGAATAATAATAAAAAAATAATAGCAATATTAATAATAGTCCAGCCAAGCAACTTTCATGTATAATCTCACTTAATTCTCACAACAACCCTATGAGCTAGAGTTATGCCATCTAATGTAACAGCCACTCATCACATGAGCTGGAACACTTGAAATGTGGCTGTTTTCAACTAAGATATGCTGTAAACATAAAATACATTTTGAAGACTTAGTTCCCCCTTGCCCCCAAAAAAGAATGTAAAATGTCTCAGTAATAATTTTTTTTTTTAAGATTTTATTGGGGAATTGGGGGGATGGGAACAGCGTTGGGGAATAGGGGAAGGGGAATAGACAAGTTGTTGCCCTTTTGTTCTTCAGTCTAGTTGTGGAGGACATCACTTCACTGGCCCATGTTGGTACTATCATTGCACTCTTCCCAGGTAAGGCAGTTGCTCGCCAACCATTGGACAGCCACTCACGGTGACTCACGCCAGCTCATGAAAGCTCACACCAGCCGTCGGCCAGCCCCACTGCAGCCTAGCCATTGCTGGCGACTCACGGCAGTCCAGCTCCAGGTCGAGCTGTTGTTCATCATCTTAGCTGTAGAAGGCACAGCGTCACTGGCCTTCATGTGGGATCCAAACCGGGGCCCTGCTGCTCAGAGCTGGCGTCCAAAGCCAACTCCTAACCAACATGCCACTCAGAGCCGGCCCACAGTAATAATTTTTTTTATATTGATTACACATTAAAATGTATTTTGGATACATCCATTTAAAGAAAATAAATTATTAAAATTAATTTCACCTGTTTTTTACTTTTTTCAATGTGGCTATTAAAAAATTTTAAATTACACATGTGGCTCATACTAATTCTACAAGTACAGGTGGCATTGCCTAAGCCATGTAGCTAGTAAGTGGCAGCACAGTGAGGCAAGCCAGGACTCTGGCATTGAACAAAGCTCAGGATGTTAGGCCCCCGGTGGATACACAGCACACGGCACTGGGGCCTGAGAGCACTGTACCCCATATCCTCCAGGGAACAGTTACGTCCCCAGAATGACAGCAGCTGAATCCAAGTCATAATGTTTCAAAGTCCTACCTGGGCCTTGGATAAGCTCCATTCTGCTCTGCTGGGTGCCCCAGCAGGAGGGTGCCCCAGACTGTTTCAGAAAACCCAGGTCCTTTTTGGGTTCTGGGGCTCCTTACAGAAACCCCCAGTTCAACATGGGTCCCCAGGGAAATCATAGAGGCCCATGAACCCCTCTCCTAACCCCAAAACATCTCTGGTTTTACCCTGTGAGAGCTAAAGACGCTGAATCTAGCCCCATGAGAGCCCAGCATTCCCCAAAACCCCGGGTGGAGGGAGCAAAGAAGGAGCCAGCCCTGTCCTCAGCCCAAATCTGCCCCAGTGAGTGCAGGTCTCAAACTCAGCAGTCCTCTGAGCTTTTAGGCATTGTGCCAACCAAAACGGTATCCAGAGGCTGGGGCTCTTATCCCCACTGCTGCTAACATGATGTAGGTCCCTGAGACAAACCCTGGTCTTGGGCTTCCATTTCCTTCCTAATCACATTTTTAATGATGGCTGCTTTGATTGGAGTAAAATGAGAACTTACCTGCAAAGACGCTTAGGGGGGGAAAAATGTTTAAGTAATACAAATACCTCTGGCATTGTTCTACAGGTTTCTTCCCATTTGCTACCATTTCATCAAGTAAACAACAAATGCCAGGTCACACAATCTTTAAGCCCCCCAATTTTATAGAACTTGAATTCGACATAAGTCAAAACTGTCAGTATGTAGCCCTGCTAAGACCTTCATTGCTCAAAGACCTGCCAGTAATAAACAAACAGTAGCGAAAAACTGGAGCAAATGGGACAAAATGCAGTATTCGTCAACTCTGCACGGTGAGTTCAAGGGTGCTCATCGTATTACTCTCTGGCATTCTCTGTGTGATTACATTTTTTCCATAATCTAAGAGAAACAATGATGAGCAATGCTTTTCACATTAGCTCTAAGCGAAAAGGGGCTGGCATTTATTTTTCTCTTTCAAAAGAAATAGATGGCGACACCCTCTACCATCACCCCACCTGAATAGTCCAATTTCTTCTCCTTTAAAGACTGGTTAGACCTTGAAACTACCCACCCACCCACCCACCTTCTATCATTTTTATTAACATTGGGAGATATATTTCTAATGCTTTCTAATCGGCCTTAGCAGCCTCAGCACCCAATTTACAATATGAAAAATGGCATGAATTTTAAGTACACAGAGGTCACATACTTTATGTGCACAGCGCTGTGCTTTTCTTTAATGTATCTGTACAGACTTGTACTTCAGCTTAACGCCGGGTTAGGCTAAGACCTACATTGGACGATCCATCTCCATTGTATTGGGTTGTCGGAAAAGTCATGATGTATTTTTTCTGGTTTTCGTTGCAAAAATGCGTCATGACTTTTTCGACAACCCAATAGTTAAATAACATGAGCTGATGGGGAGAATCCAACCTCCAACAGAAACTGCATAATCCAAGTCAAAGGATTTCTTCTTCAGAAGCTCCTTCTTGCCTTGCACGCCCCATGTCTTGTGTACATTTGCGAGGCAAGCTGCTTTGTTTCTCTGCCGTGGAAAGCTTTCTACATTTCTGAGATTGTATTAGGGGCCTTATGGAACAATCTGCATAAGGAGAAATTTGTCTCAGACCAGCGTTAGGTAACTCAGCGCCACCTACAGACATATCCGGGAATTGCCATTATTCTTCAGTATTCAGAGTCACCTCTGCCTTCACACAGCTGTCTGGAGGGGGACTTCCCTGGAAATCGATCCTTCACAAGACAGTGCAAGCCTTACAGTGACCTAGACGTACACAGGCCATTGGGAGGCGCATAAGAAAGAACTCTGTGGAAGATGAGGGTCAGAAAAGATTGTAGAGCTGAAGTCCTTCGCCAGGTACCAGAAATACGAGGCAGGAGCAGAGCATGTACAGACAGGGAAGTCATGGATGTGGAGAAGCGTGGCATCCCCAGGTAACTGTGAGCACCTCACTACACTGGGAGCTCAGGGGTATGCGGGAAAAAGGAAAGATAGTGCTGGAAAACTCAAAAGGGGTCTGGTGACGAAGAGCCTGAATGCCAGCCAGTTTACAGAGATTGTTTTCAGGCAAGTATGCAGGTTACGTACCAGGAAACAGGCTCTGACTTGGGGTGCAGGGGGTTTCCTGGGTGTACTAAAATGGGGCAGCAGGAGAAGTTGGACTGGGATGCAACAGCAGCTCAGAGAGCTCTGGAAAGAGACATGTCTTGAACTGAGTCAAGAGAGCAGGACATTTGTACCCTGGCATTGAGCAGCCACTGGATGCAGGATATCCCTGGGGACGGGATGTCACCTTGGGAGAGGCGGCTCCCTTTGGGTCTGGCGAATTCCTGGAGATGGACCTGGCTGTGAGCTCTCAGCTGCTATCACACCAGGATGCTGGGGGGTTACAGGCCTAGGTCTTGAATGGTAGAATCTGGGTGACACCCCCAAGACATCCACTACAGAGGATTTACAAGAATCTTTAGACCACGGAGTTACATGATCTGTGATTATTCATACTGTGATTGTTACTAATACTCAGTAATTTTAAGGAGTAAATGGGATTACAAAGAAGAAAATAACTGGTGCAGAACTGATTCTAAAACAATGGGTAATTGTTACTATCATGTTAATGTTACATAAAAGTACACACTACTTTTATTTTAACAGGCTAAGTGCATATATGTCATCCTGTTATTATACAAAAAGCTACAATGTTTGAGAGAGACTACTACATGCCAGATACTTACTGAGCCACGGTGGTCTCATTTAAGCCTGACAACAACCCGGCCAGGAATGGTTCTCACCTCATTTTATGGATAAGGGCACTGAGGCTGACAGGTTCACTCAGTCATCAGGTTAGGCAGGTAACCCAAGGAGCCCTAGGACATCTCGTTTCCACTTTCCTATCCTTTCCATTCCACCACACTGCCCAACGTGGTCAGATGGCTCCATCTACCAAGCAGGCAGGTGATTTGTGAGTGAAATAAACAAAATGACAGATTATGGTGCTGTTAACAACTGGACATGATGAGCAAAGACCAAAAATGTGAGCTTTCTTCTCCGCTTTCTTTTCAAATGAAGGCTGCATTCCATTAATGTCAAATATCAAAGCAGTGTGTACAAATTTCAGTGAGTTGAGAGTCTTAAACCAACTTTTAAACTTTTTATTAAAGCATAATACATGTGCAAAAAGTGCACAAAAAGATACAGCTCAACTAAATTTTACACAATGAACACACCCATGTAACCAGTACCCAGATCAAGAAACAAAACATGACCAGCCTCCCAGAAATCCCCCCATGGCCCCCAAGGATACAGATTTCTTTTTTTTTCTTTTTTTTTTTTTTTTTTTTTTTTGCCACCTGTTGGCAGCTCAGCTCGGGCTGGGAATCAAACCGGCATCCCTGCTGCTCAGCTCGGGCTGACTCGAACCACTGTTGCTCAGAGCTCAAACTCTTGAGCGAGCTCTTAACCAACTGAGCCACTCAGCCGGCCCCTACAGATTTCTAACATCATCGAATATTGTGACCTGTGTTTGAAGCTTATAAAAATGGAATCATGGAGTATATTCTCTTTTGTGTCTGACTTCTGTTGCGTTTTTGAGATTTATCCACACTGTTGTGTATAGTTGTGATTTCTTTTTTCTTATTGCTATATAATATTGTGTGAATATACCTCAATTTACTTATCCATTCTACTGCTATAATACCACTTGGGGTATTATAAATTGTGAAGCCGTGAACATTTTAGTGCATGTCTTTTGGTACATATATGTGCATATTTCTGTAAGCATGGTATTGCTGGGTCACAGGATCATAGCATGATTTTTTAAGCTGCTGTCTCCATCTCTTTGTACTCTGAGCATATCTACCCTTTGCTGGAAGCAGTTTCTAAAACCACTTTGTGGTCTTCTCCCTTGGGTGAGATCACTGGGAGAGAAATCAGAAAAAAATCCATTTCTCTGCTTTTTAGTCCTGGGTAATTTCAGTTGGCACCATAGCTCAAAGAACAGAACAAATTACTTTTTCCAGCCAGGTCACTGAAAGACAAACTGGATTTTGCTATTCAAAATCATCCTTAATGTATCCATAAAGAGCTAGCGTTTTCTTGTTCTAGAATCTCCATGATTTGATATTAACAATGGCCAACCCAGCATTCTTTTGATTAGTGTTGGCTGGTAGATCTTTCTTGCATCCTTTTACTTTTAATCTATCTACATCATTGTATTCAAAATGGGCTTCTTGTATATGGTTGAGTCTTGGTTTTTTCATATCCCATATAGCACAATTGGTGTGTTTAGACCATTTACAATTAATGTATTTATTAATATAGTTAGATTTAGGTCTATTATTTTGTTATTTGTTTTATGTTTGCCCCCTCTGTGTACCAGACCCCTTCCCTGCTGTTCCTCTCCTTCCTTGATTTCTTTTGGGTTATTTGAATATTTTTCATGTTCCATTTTCACTTTATCTTTTTGGCTTTTTGGGTTATATCTCTTTCTATTATTTTTAAATAGTTGCTCTGGGGATTTCAGTATACATATGAGTATCTAACCTTTCAGAGTCTACTTAGAGTTAATATTTTATCACTTCAGGTAAAATGTTGAAGCCTTATTAGCATATAGGTCCCTTTGCCTGCCTATCTTTATATTATAATCGTCATATGTAAGACATCTACATACATTGAAAACCCCTCTCAACAATCACACGTACTTTAACGAACTTAAGAGGAGGAAAATACTCTACATTTACCAAGCTATTCACCATTTCTTGTGTTCTCCATTCATTCCTAAATTTTCAAGTTTCCTTCTGGTATAATTTCCCTTCAGTTGGAAAAACTTCTTTGGCGTTTCTTTTAGTGTAGATTTTTCTGGCAACAAACTCTCTGAGAGAATTTCTTTATTCCTGAATGTCTTTATCTTGCTTTCATTCCTGGAGGATATTTTTGCTGGATATAGAATTATGTGTTAACAGTTCTTTTCTTTCAACACTTGAGAGACGTCATTCACTGTCTCCTGGCCTCCATGGTTTCTGAGGAGAAATCTACAGTCATTCAGATCAACATTTTCTCTATATGTATTGTGTCATTGTTTTCAGACTGATTTCAAGATCTTTTTCTCTCTCTTTGTTATTTGTGTGGGCATGGTTTTCTTTAATTTTTTTTTTTTCCTTTTGGGCATTCACAGATCTTCCTGAATCCTTTGTTTTGCCCAATTTGGGAAGTTTTTTCCTTCAAGTATATTTTTTTACACCAATCTCTTTCTTCTCACTGGTGCTCCAATGACACAAATGTTTTCCATTTTGATATTATTGCACAGATTGATGATGCCCTGATCACTAAAAAAAAAAAAAATTAATGCATTTTCTCTGTGTTCTTCAGATTGAATAATTTCTCTTCCTCTATCTTTCCCTCTATCATCTCTATTCTGCTATTGTACTCATTCAGTGAATTTTTTATTTCAGATATTGTGTTTTCCATTTCTAAAATTTTTCCATTTGGTTCTTCTTTATAGTTTGTTTCTCTGCTAAGAATGTCTATCTCCTCATTCATTTCAAGAGCATTTATTTTTACCCCATGGAGCATGGTTATAATAGCTGATTAAAAGTCTTTGTCTGATAATTCCTACATTTCCTACATCTGAGTCATCTCAGAACTTACATCTACTGATTATATTTTCCCTTGAAATCTGATTACATTTTCCTAATTCTTTGAATAGCAAGCAATTTTGGTTTGTATTCTAGATATTTCGAATAGTAGGTTCTGAGACTGGGTCCTGTTAAAATCCTCTAGAAAAAATGCTGATTTTTGTTTGTTTGTTTGTTTTGTTTTAGCCAGCAACCAATCCAGTTAGGTTCAGGCCACACATTCTGACTTGCCTTCTGAGTGGTGGTTCCCATGTCAGTTCAGTTTTCAAAGCTGTTTTGGTTGCTCCACTCATGCCCCACTCAGGGAGTTGGTTTCTGTTGGTTACATTCACAAAGCCTTTGCTATGTTTCTTTGGGTCTGTTCTGCACATGCATAGTTTGTGAGTGAGCTCATGATTTATTCAGGGTCATACATAGAATTAGGGAATCCTAATCTCTAGATCTCTCCTTGTCAGACTTTTCCCCACAATCACCAAGTCCCACAGGTCCTTTTTCATGGTTCCTTTGTTTAGAAAGATGAGTTTTCTCTTGCAGTCAGTGCAGAGAGAGAAGTCTGAGGCACAGCCAGGAGAAAAAGAAAGAGAAACAGCACAAAACAAAAACAGGTACTTCCTCTCTACTCTCAGGCTCACTGCATCCTTTTTCCGGTTCTCTGGCTAAACAGAGAGGATTTCTCTTGGGGTTTTTGTTTTTTTCACTCAGTGTGCAATTCTATGACTCAGGCTACCCTAAGGACAAAGCCAAGAGATAGAGGTTTTTTGGGTGTTTTTTTCTTTTCTATTCTTTTTTTTTCTTAAACACACAAAACAGGAAACTCCCATCTTTATGGGTCATTCTTAAAGTTTTGACTTTCCTCCCCAATCTGTCTACCACTGTTTCTTTTTCAGAGTTCTCAGGCAGTTTATTTTGTAATTCTGTCCAAGGCTTTAGTTGTAATCAATGGAAGAAACAGGATAGGGTGGGCTTACTCCATCTTGGCTGGCATCAAGAAGGAAGTTACTGTTTCCTAAGCTTTTTCACAAATATGTTCATTTGTCAACTATTTCTCAAGCACTAGCTATGTGCTAGGCTCTGTGCTAGGTGCCAGGTATGTAACAGAGAACTAGACAGACACTGACTGTGCTGACAGCCTAACAGGAAGATTTACAGCGAATAAGCAAGCACACAAGGGATGAGTGTCACCTAGGAGCAGCAGCAAAGCTATGGCAGTAAAGGGAAGCTAAGGAAGGCTTCCCTGAGGAGGTAATGCTTAAGCTGGGAACGAAAGGAGGAGCTTCACTGTGAACAAAGAGATGAGCAAGGGCCTTCCCAGCAAAGATCAGCGCAATTGCAGGCCTTGAGGCAGGCAAGAGGTGGCATGTTCTAGGAACTGAAAAACAAGGTCTCGATGAACACATAGTTAGCGGAGTGTGACAGGAGACAGAGAGGAGGTCAGGACGGAAGGTCATGTGCATCTTTGCAGGCCATGTTAGAGATTTTTAATTAATCCCCTTGAGAAAATGAGAAGCAAAACAAACCCATAACTTTGATATGTTTGGAGTCTGACCCCATTTTACAGATGGGGAAATAAGGCTCAGAAAGGTAGGTTGGGGCATAGTACTTTACAGATGAAGCAAGAAGACCCAGACAGGGGGTCTATGAACCACAGAGGGAATAAATGGCAGAAAATGGACTTGCAACCCAATATTCATCATCCTGGTTGGTCAGTGCTATTTCTTCCACTCTCACCTGCTCTAGAACGTCTCAATGTAACGTTTGAGAACACTGAGAGCTTGGTTATGTAGCATCTTTATCTTCATCTTTTATCTTTACAGAGCAGAAAGGGTGTGAGGTGGGTACTGCACCTGTGCACACATGTGTGAATGCACATTTGCATGTTCTCAACTCTGGTAACATTTCTGTTTCTAGCAGTTTGTCCAGCAACATCATCCATCAGTTCACAACCCTTGGGGAATTCACTGTGTTTGCCGGGTGCACAACCAGCGAGTGGCATGTGACAGCTCAGAAGCAAGTGACGATGCAAGACAAGATGGAGAGGCTCAGTGTGACTGGGTGCTCCAGCCTGGTCAAGTCAGGAGGCAGCCCTCTCTGCTGGGCTGTCTTTGTGGATTCAGGTGGAGCTCGATGGAGGTGAGTCCGCAGAAATGGCCAAGGTCAAGGCAACCTCGATTTCCCCCAAATCTATTCCAGGCTTTAATAAATACTAACAGCAATCACTTATCAAGTTAGTTTTTTACTATGCATTTATTTAGCATCTCCTGTGTGCCAAGAACTGATCTAAGTGCTTTACATATACTAGCCCACCCAGTATTAGAGTATTATCTCCATTTTACAGATGAAGAAATGGAGGAAAGGTTCAGTCACAAGGCTAGTAAGCTAGTGAGAGCTCCCAGCCTTCCAAAGGCCCTTCCTTGCATGCCCATAGTTCTATTGCAAGAACTGAACTGCTAATCCACTCTTTGTTGGAGGGATTCAAATAGGACTGGGAATGCTACCAGCTGGGCCTGAGCATTGACTAGCCTGGCACAGTTATGATGCCCCAAGTCAGGATGATATTCAGCTACATGCACAGCGACAGCCATAGCAGCTGTTATGTCTGGTGTCTATTCTGATTGGTCAGTTTCTTTTCTGATTGGTCACAGAGGCCATTCTAATTGGTCATCATGTCCATTTTGATTAGTCAAGGTGTCCATTCTGATTGATCACAGCAACATTTCTCATTGGTCACAGCGTCCATTCTGATTGTTCACAGCATCTATTTTGATTGGTCACAGTGCCCATTCTGACTTATCAGAACATCCATTCTACTGGGTTGGTGCCCACACAGTTTCAGGTGTTAAACATTTTGAATAACACCCCTTCTCTCAATAGAGACCCTCCCAACTAAGACCTATCCTTACCCAAGGCAGCATCTTTCCTAAAGGCACAGGTCCAGGGTGAGATCTGGACAGAGGGCTGTTGATATAAACTGTGAAGCACAGAGCTGAGGAGGTGAGGGCGTGACCTCACATGATCCAACACCACCTGGAGCCTCACTCATACCAGTGACTTACTGGAGCTCTAATATAGTACTTGAGGCTCCTTTCTGTCTGGTGTGCTTGTTGGGTGAAGATGGCTACTGTGGGTACCTGGGGAAACTTAAAATAATTCCTTCATTTATTTATTTACTCATTCTACAAATAGAATTGAGTACATACTCTTTGCAGGTGTGGGAAAGGCAGCAGTAAACCTGAAAGTCAGGGTTGCTGCTCCCAGAGGGCTCACATCATCATCATCATCATCGTCATCATCACCGTCATCATCACCATCATCACTATCATCATCATCATCTTTATCATCATCATCACCATCATCACTCAAACAAGGAACACACTCACTTGGTTTCTATTGGAAAGAATCCTAATTTGTTGGTTTAAATCATAGTTCAAGGGTCAACCACAATATTCAGCATCCAGTTAGGAAACCAGCCCCAACCTGAAAGGGAGCCCCATCACGAGGTGAACAAGCTCAGTTCTGTTGGACAAGGTTTCAGGCAGTCAGCCATTGAAGTGGAAGGAAATGGCTTCAGTTGCTCCTCTTGAAACAAGACTTGAGGCTAATTCTCATGCAAAAAAATCAGCCATACGCTCAAGAGATGCTTCCTTTTAAGGCTTCCTCCCCTGCAAGGATATCGCTGTCAACAAAATGTTCTAATATTTTTATTATAAACTTTTAAGTTTACGGGTAACATATGCATAGTATAAATACATTAGAATATACAAATGAGAAGAGAGGACCCAAAAAGAAAAATCATTCGTGAACCTGATACTATGAGATCATCACTGTATATCCTTACATATGTCTTTACAGCTGTATCCATATCTATGTCTATATCCATAATCTCACTTCAGAGCTTGAGTCTGAGTCTGAACTATCTCAGTATAATCAACTACATGGTTCTTACCAACATTCTTTTCTTTTTTTTTTTTAAGTTGGGTAGTCGGGGGAGGGGAACAGACAAGTTGCTGTCCTTTTGTTCTTCAGTCTAGTTGTGGAGGACATCGCTTCACTGGCCCATGTTGGTATTACCATTGTGTTCTTCCCAGGTGAGGCAGTCGCTTGCCAGCCGCTCACAGCAGCTCACAAAAGCTCACGCCTGCTGCCAACTAGCCCCACCGCAGCCTACGCCATCGCCAGTGACTCCCGGCAGCCCAGCTCCAGGTCGAGCTATTGTTCACCATCTTAGCTATAGAAGGCACAGCGTCACTGGCCCTCATGTGGGATCCGAACCGGGGCCCTACTGCTCAGAGCTGGCACTCCCAAGCCAACTCCTAACCAACGCGCCACTCGGCCGGCCCCTTACCAACATTCTTAAATGTTCTTAGCCTACTTAGGAACAGAGGTGACTTACACTGTGCTGTCGGTTAACACAAACCTGGTTGAGTCCACCACTCAGAGGGGTCCACTCCCATACAACCTGACCCTGGACAGAGCAGCCCAGCAATGGATGGGCCCAGGCATGCACCACCTGGAGATCCGAGCTACCAGCAACACCACCACCTCCGCATTCTCCACAAACTTCACAGTTAATTTCATGGAGCCTCTGTTGGGGCTTCAGGCCTCCTGGTCCTCAGACTACTTGGAGCTTGGACAGGATCTACTGGTCAACGTCTCGGTGGTTCATGGCATCCGAGGAGCTGACCTTTGAGGTAGCAGGATGCAATGCATCCTTCTCCCATGAGGAAGAGAGCCTCAGGAGGCCATCTGGGATTTACCATGTGGCAGTTCCTCTTGAAGGGACTTGGGGTTCGTTGCTCCCCTTCCAAACCTCCTTTCTCTTCCCTTCCTGACTTAAGAGTCCAGGGTCCTGCCAGCCAGTTTTCAGGGTGTCCTGGACACAAACATGGTTCACAGCATCCAGCCTGAGTCACAAAATAATGAAGAGGCCGATATTATCTGCCCTCATAGAGCTTATAGTCACAGGGGTTCTCAACTTTGGCACTTGTGATGCTTGGGACTGGATCATTCTTTGTTGTGGGGACTGTCCTGCACACTGTAGGATGTTTCACAGCATCTCTGGCTTCTACCCACTAGATACCAGTAGCACCAGTCTCCTAAGTCATGACAACGAAAAATGTCTCCAGACATTGCCAACTGTCCCCTGGGGAGTAAAACCACTCCCACTGAAAACCACTGAAAGATAGCAGGAGCATTTTGATTTGTTCCATCACTTCTAGAGGAGACTGTGGTTCAGGAAACTGCAGTCCATGCCCTTAGGGGAGAGAGAGGTAAAAACTGAAGAGTGGGAGAGAGAGGGACAAGAGAGGAATTATCATGATGCTGGCTGGAACAGAGACAGGCAACAGGCTGGCTGGGGCCAGACTGGCTGGCACCAGCCAGGGA